TGGATAAGTATTATGGAGATATGTTCATGGTCAAGATACCATAGATATTTTTTTTTCCAAGTGTTCAGCGTGAGAGAGATTGTTTGATGGTCTTGCTTTTTAGCTAATGCCAGTTTTATTGAACGTACATGTGGATTTTGTTATTAGGAAAGAGAAAATCATGTGAGTAAATAATACTACTTGTGAAGAACCATTAGAACACAAGAAATAGTATATCCTTGTTCTTTTTTATACTAGTTTGAACATATTGATGTTATATGTTGTGGTCATATTTTTGTGTACATGATATTATGGTCAGATTTTCATGTACATTTTAATCCTTTTCCTTTCTTATCTTTGTACTTTTCGTATACGAACATATGAACAATGTTAAATGGTCAAACTTTTTTCATACCACATCGTCCATTATATCATTAAGTTTCTTACCACACACAAACACAGAACCAATTTTCTTAACAATCCTTCACAATTTCACATAAGAGATACATGGTAAACTATAAAGACATCCAACAGTGTTTCAAAGTTAATATTGGTCGTTTTCGGTTGTCTCCAAATTTGGGTCAAGATTCTAAAAATCAAAATTATAAAAGAAAAACCAAAAATAATTGGAACATGATTCAAAATATCAAAATTAAACTCCATCAAGTTAAATATCACGAATTAGATTATAGAAACGTTCCATTATGACTTGGAAGAGATATATCAGTAAGCTTGAACTGGAGACATAATTGGAGATCGGATTCTCGTAAATTCCTCTCCACTCGGCGGTTTGAATCAACGACAACCAGCGAATCGTATGCTCAGAAACACTGAAAGGGACAAATCTTAGTAACGAAATCCAACGACAGTAGCCTCACCGTCGGTGTGAAACGAAAATTAGGGTTCATACACAAGAAGGGAAAAGGGAGAAGAAGACCAAAAAGCGTGAATCTGAGTCAAAAGATAAAATCTCTTTAACATGTTTTGACCTGGGTACAATAAATTAACTAAACCATGGTTAAATAATGTTTTTGGTTGGGTTACTTATTTTTTAATATAATTCAGAAGTTAAAAAAGGTAATTTAGAGATTTGATAGAGGAAAAATAATTTGGAATAGGAAAGTGCATATATTGGATATTACTTTCTAGAATGTGTCGTAACTAACAATGAATTATTTATTTTTTTGTTAGTATTATCATTATCCTTTTAAGTGGTTTTTATTTTAGAAAATTTGCAACTGATATACACTATCAGAAAATTGGTAAACTATACAAACACTATACATTGTATTGTGCAATTTTCAAAAACCCAATACAGCCCCTAGCCTCTAACCTCTACTACTATGTGTCAGAGAAAAACAAAAATTATATCGATTTATTAATACACATATACATATATATAATTACATATATAGTTTTGATAACTAATACATTCTCTCTTTTCTTTGTCATCTTTATAGTTTCTGAATTTTTCTTTCTTCGATCTCTTTCTTCTTAATTAGGTCATGTTAATATTTCTCCATTTTTTGCATCTATTTTTTTTTTAGAACTATGTTTCATTTTTGAGTTTGACGACAATACGCCGCTGGTCCATCCACCATTTCTGCGATATCTCTCTAAGTTATTTTCAAATCTTTTACCAAGTACAACCACAATATTTCTAGTCTAGATGTTTTAATTATTATGCCAAATTCAATGATATGCATCTAACAAGTATAATAGCCGAGAAAAATTAGTTATCGGAAACATCTTCACAAAAACGTCTTCATTCAACGGAGCACCGAATCACCACCATTGAACACGTTTACTTACTTCTCCCTAATTGAGTGAACTCACCGAATCGACTCGGTATGCTTATATCAACTAGAACAAAAGTTTTTCATCATTTTTTTCCATCTTTATTCTTTCTCTTCATCAAGATAAGGTATCATCTGTCGGAACTTCTAAAAAAATCCGATCACATCTAGAATAGAAATATTTTGATTGTACTTGGTAGAAAACTTGAAAATAGCTTAAAGAGATATCGCGGAAATGGTGGATGGACCAGCGGCGTATTGTTGTTAAACTCAAAAATAAAACATAGTTCTAAAAAAAAAATGGAGAAATATTAACATGACTGAATTAAGAAGAAAAAGATTGAAGAAAGAAAAATTCAGAAACCATAGAAAGATGACAAAGAAGAGAGAGAATGTATTAGTTATAAAAGCTATATATGTAATTATATGTATGTATGTGTGTATTAGTAAATCGATATAATTTTTGTTTTTCTGGTAGGAGTTAGAGGCTATGTATGTATGTGTATTACACATGCTAGTAGGAGTTAGAGGCTAGTATTGGGTTTGTGAAAGTTGCAGA